CCAGGAGCGCCGGGCGGGCGGAGCGCAGCGGCCCGAGCGCCGCCCGCAGCACGGCCCGGCCCGACCCGGCCCGTCCCCCGAGACCCAGCGAAGCCTGAGAGCCGGCGGAATCCCTGAGGCCAGCACGCCCCGAATCCAACGCACGCCCGGGCCCGGTGCACCCCCGGAGCCCAACGCACCCGCAGCCCAACGCAACGCGAAACCAACGCACCCCGAGACTCGGCGCACCCCGAGCCCAGCGCACCCCCGAGCCCAGCGCACCCCCAGCCCGGCACGTCCCGGGCCCGGGGCCTCAGGGGGCAGAAGGGCCACAGAGACCGGGCAGAGCGCGGCTGTAGCGGCCCTGCTGTGTCCCCACATACCCCCGGCCCAGGAGAGCGGACAAACACAGAACTTAAGCCCTTTCCCCTCAAAAAAAGGTTTTTTTAACTACCTGAACTCTAATGTTCAATTTTCCCGTCCATACTAGCGGAATGTTACACATCTGATAAAATCAGTTCTCAGCTCGCAGTTCTCCACAACTCAGTTATTCTTCTTGTCCCCTTGTCCCAAGGTGTTCAGGTTGTTCCAGGAGAGCAGCCTTGCCTCTTCTTGGCCTAAATAAACCACATGCTTTCACCAGTCCACATGAGACAAGTTCTTCATTCCCCTAATGACACTAATTAGCTCCATTCCCTCACACACAGAGCCCTGTTCTAGCTGAGGAGTTGCTCCTGCCTTGGCATCATTTCACACCACAACTGCCAGGCTACACAGCCACATCCCATTGTCATTGTGTGATCACCACACCACTAAGAATTCCCATTACTTCTCCAGCTGCAGGACCCTTCCCTCCAGCTCAGGCTGCTGCACGCCTCATTTCTGCACATATTACAAATAAACCCTCTCCAGTCCATCCCTGTGACACATCACTCTCCCTCTGAACTGGTGGTACCGCCCAGGAAAATTCAAATTTAGACTTTGTCACAAATACATTTCCCAGCTGGCAGCACAAAGGCTCCTCCCCTTACACAAAATCCAGCAGCATCAAGAGATCCTTCCACCCATCACTCACTCCGAGAGTATTTATTCCCAAGTCTTCACACAGAGCTCATGACACAATAGCTCATGTTCACCAAAAGTGCTACATTTGGGGCTGATGTCCCATCTGGCAGGAGCTTCTGGCACAGGTGACACTTCCAAGCCAGGTGTGAAGCCAAGTTCCAGGCCACATGAGGTGAAGGAAAGGAATAAACAGGACACAGGCACCTCCTGCGAGCAGCTGAGCCTGAGCTAATTGCAAGAGGAAACATTTCTGCAGAAGAAATGCTGCTTCTTCAGGTCACAGGGAGAAGAAACCAAGAGATGGAACTTCTCCTCCTTTAGTTGTAGCTTTCTCCTCCTTTAGTTTTAGTTTTCTAAGTAGGACGCAGTGTTGCCGTGTGATCTAGACCAGCCTGGCAAAGCCAAGCCCTTCAAGGAGCAGCTGGGACAGGGCTATGTGACACAGGTCACCTGGCACTGCTGCCAGCAGAGTGCACATGAACCTCGGGCTGAGCCAGGTGTTTCCTGATTTTGTTCTGACATCCCTTGGATGTCACCTCAGGCAGAACATTGCTGTACTACAGCCCTCCACACTTGGCATCTTTTCAAGATTCACTCATTGCACTCAGCGAGAAACTTTCTGCTGATTGACTGTGGCTTTAGACACACTGCCAAAATTTTAGAGCTTAGGAAAAAACAATCTCTGGCCAACTGGTAGGGACAGTAAAATCAGGAGAGGGAAACTAAACCTGGGTACCAGTGGGGCTTTTTACTACTAGGTGAGTGAATAGAATGTTTTCATAATATTTTATAATTCCTTTCAGGATCTTGTAATTAACAGTGAATTCTTCAGCATTTCAAACTGATTTAGTTTTATTCTTCTGAGACTGTGTCCCAGAGCTTTGTTTTTCTTTCACATTCCTCTCTGCAATCCCTCTGCCTGTGAAAGATCACCTGAACTCTTAAAATGTTAATTGTTTTCAAATTTGTAGGAAGCAGGTTTGGGCAGAAGGGCTCTGCCTTTTGTAGCCTTTGTGCAGCAGGGGTGGGGTGAGGGTAATAAACTACTGAGGGATGCAGTGTTTAAATAGGGGAGGAAAAAGAAATTTGGGAAAGGCTACCAGTCATCATCAGAAATGCTAAGGAAAGGCTTTTACAAATAATGAAGGTGAGAAGGTGACTGTGGAAGAGAAGCTGTGGATAACCTGGAAGTGCTCAAGGCCAGGTGGGATGGAGCTCTGAACAACCTGCCCTGGTGGAAGGTGTCCCTGTCCACGGCTCGGGATGATCTCCGAGGTCCCTTCCAACCCAAACTATTCCAAGATCCTGTGAAATAATTTCAGCATTAAAACACCCACGGGAGCGATTTAGGGCACGAGCGTTATTGGTTTCCCGGCTTTGACCACCAGAGAGAGCTCATGCAACAGAATTTCCAGCGTGAGTGAAAACCAAAACCAAAACCTGATGGAAAACATCAATTCCTGCAGTGTTAGGATCGGCTGAAAACAGGAGATGGGGACCGGGAAGGGAGGGGGAAAAAGAACAGTCTGTGGGCCATCAGAAAAGGAGACTTTTTTTTTGCAGTGGTCTGGCAGGAGTCAGAAAAATGGTGAATTTTGCCCTAATAAAGTATTGGTTGATTTGTTTGTTTGTTTGTTTGAGGTCTGTGAACACTGAACAGAAAGGACACGTGTTTCTGCAGATATGATTTAACTCCTGTCGTCCTGGGCTCTCAGCAAGGACCTGCAGCTTTTCAAACCTGTGAAAACCCCATGGAAGTGTGTGTGCTATTCCTGCAGCTGGCCAGCAAACCCACACATCACCACGGAAACTGGGACTGCCTTCCAAAAAATGGATCAGGGCTCGCTCCTAGCCCCAGTCCATCTGGAGAGAGAACAGCATCAGCAGAGGAAGGATGTTCATTTGCAAAATGGATCAGGGCTCGCCCCTAGCCCCAGTCCATCTGGGGGATGAGAACAGCATCAGCAGAGGAAGGATGTTCATTTGTGAGGCTGAAATCAAGCACCTGGTGTTTTCTTAAGGATTTGATGAACCACAGGCTCCCCACCTGTAAGACAGAATATTTTCTCACTGGGATATTGTGGAGGTTAGTACAGCCCTGGTAACCTGACACAATGCCAGAGTCCCATCCAGGAGGCAGCTACAGGGCCCTACAAAAAAGCAGGATATTGGATGCACAGCACCCTCACAGTCAGGGACACTGTGCTCTCACATTGTTTATGCAAGTGCTGCCACAGGGAGACCACACAGTTGAAAAAACACATTCCTTTCTGGAGAAAAGCTCACAGAACTGAGCAGAATTCTACACACATTGACAGCTATTACTCTGGCATTTAAGAGATCTTGGAGTACAGTCTAAAAGTGGTAAATATTGCTTTGTTCTCACAAATAGAATTTTGTGCATGCCCACACACACATGGCTCCCCTGTGGCACCAGTGGAACTTAAGCTCTTCCCTGTTGCAGACCTCTGTGGTAATGCAGTCAGTGAAGTGCCCTGAATAAAATGAAAGTTTTTCTTTTGCAGGGCTATTTTTAACCCAGAACAGCTCGCTGGCCCAATTCAGTGTGTGCTCCCATGAAAAGCAGCTGTGCTGGCACAGCTGTGGGGTGGGAATATGTGGCTGGCAGGGAGGATGAGGACAGCAGCTGCTGGCACAGCCCTGAAGGAAAACACAGCGAGCTGCAGCCTTTAATGTACAGATGAAAATATACACAATATACTGAGCTGGAAGGGACCCACAAGGATGATCTATTCCAACTCCTGGCCCTGCACAGACAGCCCAACAACCCCACCCTGTGCATCCCTGAGAGCAGTGTCCAAACTCTCCTGGATCTCTGGCAGCCTGGGGGCTGTGCCCATTCCCTGGGCAGCCTGGGCAGTGCCCGGCACCCTCTGGGGAAGAGCCTTTTCCTAACATCCAACTTAACCCTCCCCTGACACAGCTCCTGCTCTTCCCTCGGCGCCTGTCCCTAGTCACAGAGCAGAGGTTGGTCTGTGCCTCAGAAGGACGTTGAAGACCACAAGGTCTGACCTCAGCCTCTTCTCTGGGCTGAACAAACCAAGTGACCCCAGTCCATTCTCATGAGCCTCCTCAGCAGCAGGGCCAGGGGAGGGATTGTCCCCCTCTGCACTGGTGAGGCCACATTCGAGTGTCCCCTCCGTTCAGGAAGGACACCGAGGGGCTGGAGGATGACCAGAGGAAGGAGCAGAGCTGGGGGAGGAGGCAGAGCACCAGGAGAGGTTGAGGGAGCCAGGAGAGCTGAGCCTGGAGAAAAGGAGAAACCTTCTGTCCACAACAGATGGAAAGGAGGTGGGAGCCAGGCGGGGGTCGGGCTGTGCTCCCAGGGAACGAGGGGAAACGGCCTCGAGATGTGTCAGGGCAGGTTAAGGCTGGACATCAGGAGGAACTTCTTCCCAGAAAAGATCATTATACATTGGAACGGGCTGCCAGCAGTGTGGCGGAGCCACCGCGCTTGGAGGTGTTCAAGAACCGAGCGGACGCGGCACCCTGATCTGGTTAAGAAGGCGGTGCTCGCTCACGGTGGGACTGGGTGATCCCAGCGGTGTTTCCCGGCCCGCTCGATGCCGGGATTCACCCCCCCCTCCCGCCTCCCCTCACAGCCCGCCCTCACACCGACCGCCCGCGCGGGGAGATGACGTCACGCCTCCCGCGTGCGGTCACGTCCGGTAGGTGAGGTCAGGGCCGGGGCCGCCATTTTGAGCGGCTCCGCGGGCGGCGGCGGCGGCGGCGGCCGCGGGCGGGGGAGGAGCGCGGCCCCCATGGCCGGGCAGTTCGACTCCGAGGACCGGGCGAGCTGGTACTGGGGGCGGCTGAGCCGCGCCGAGGCCGTATCGCTGCTGCAGGGGCAGCGCCACGGCACCTTCCTGGTGCGCGACTCGGGCACCATCCCCGGCGACTTCGTGCTGTCGGTGTCCGAGAGCTCCCGCGTCTCGCACTACATCGTCAACAGCCTGGGGCCGGCGGGAGCCCGGCGGGCCGGCGGCGAGGGCCCCGGGGCCCCGGGTGAGTGACCCCCAGGGCCGGCGTGCCCGCAGCCCGGGCAGGGCAGCCGGGCGGTGCGGGGAGCGCCTTGTGGCGGGGTGCAGCCGCGCTCCGGGGCCGCTGCCCGAGCCCAGCCGGCTGTCCGCGCCTGCCGTCCTGCGGCACGTGAAATTCAGCGTCCCGGAGCGGGGCGTCCCGCCGCTCCAGCCCCGCGCCTCTTTGTTTTCCGAACCCCCTCAGCGAGAATTCGGAGATTTTCCGTGGCATCTCAGCCGGGAGGTGGTTCTGTGCAAGTGTCATCCCCAAAGTGTGACTTCTGACACGGCAGTTTTGTGTTACCGGGGAGGCTGAGTTCGAGTTTGAGCGGTGGGAACTCTTCAGGATGTAAAGGCAATGGTTTCTTGAAATCAGATGTGAAGTTCAGTTTCTTTCCCCTTGAAAGGAGAAGTTTGGTGTTATTCTCATCGGCTGAACATTAACAATGAAAACAACACGTTGCAGTGTGACACTGCAAGTGCAGAAGGTGCTGGTTGTGCCGGAGGGAGAAGCAGAATTTTTGCTGTTTAGTCCAACTAAACCCCAGCAGTGCAGAGCCCTCGGATGTGTCAGAACGTGCAGTCCAAAGGCCCTGGTGTCCCTGCTGTGGGAATTAGGGAACTTGGTGCTGGAACTGCTCCAGTTTGGATATTAATCCTTGCAAAATGATGCGGATGTGTCATTGGCATCTCTGCAAGGAGCCACTAGATATTTTTTAATTATAGTAAACCTGTGTAATACGAGATTTGGTGAACTTTTCTGGCAGAAAGTAGACAGAGACACTGGTGCAGGTCTATGGGTGGAACAGGAGACCAGTAGTGGGAAGATGTAACAAGACTTGTTTTATTTTTCAGTCTCTGCACAGAGGGGTTGACTAAGGCGATAATCTGAGAGAAAACAAAATTAGTGCCAGTAGATTTGCACTGTCATACAGGGGAAGCATTTCAGATTGGAAAAGTGGGGAAAGTCTAAACTCATCCTGTTCATCCCAGGAACCTCCGGAGCTGCACAGTGCACTCAGGTTACAGAGCTCCACAGGTAGAAGGTGTTAAAGGTGGCTGAATTCAGCTGGAAGTGGAATAGGGTCAGAATGTGGTGGGTTCCTGTTCATGTGTGTGCAGACACAGGTTTGGTGCTGCAATTGCTGACAAGGATGGCTGGTAGGGCAGAGTCAGTCACCAGCATGCTTTTTGTGAATCCAACCTAATTGGATTTTAAAGACACAAAAAACACTGGGTCATGAGTGTCTGTCACTTCTGGGCAGTTGTTTTTTGGGGACAGCTAATCTCTGGAAAAACAGTGGCATCACTTCTGTTCAGCCATCCTGACTTTTTCCTTGTGTTACATCCTAAGCTCAGTAACATTTTGTGGCATTCTGTGGGCTGGCTTTGGTTAAAATCATGAAGTACCTTGTAATTCTCTTCTGTTTTAAAAGAGTAGCTGTGTAAGCTGGTGGCACAGTAGGCTTAATATATCTGGAGAAGTATAATTATGTTTTGGTTGGTCTCCTTTTTATTTGTCCCCTGGAGGTTCTGGGGAGGAGTGATGCATCACTCCTGCACTACAGACACTCCCACGCTGATTTCAGTAATTTTAATTAAATCATGCCTCTATGCTGATGCTGCTGTGTTCATGCTCCAACCAAAGAAGGTGCTGGGGAGGTATATATTGAATTATACTTCAAGTGTAATTAAGGTGCTCTTTCAGAAAAAAATAAGTGGGAGGTTGTTCTGCAGTGGAAGGGAGGTGAAAACAGTAGAAGATTGAAGATAATTCTGTGTTTGGGTAGGAAAGCTAATGCAGTGAAAAGAGTTAAATGTTTCCAAATTGTCCTGCTTGTTTATTGTGGCCAAAGTAAAACATTAGGAAAACCAAAATCATTCTATTTTAGTATGGCATATTCTTTTTTTAGCAATTTATTGTTTGGCAAATACACGGGTCTCTCTGGGAAATTTGAATATTCCAGGTCGGGTTCTTGGGTTGATTTGTGCTGGGCTCAGTGTCTGTGAAATTCCTGGCTGCTCTCAGGGATAGGGAAGCCTCAGCACAGAATGAATGAAATGAGGAACTTTGGCTTCCCTAAAAACCACAATGTCACAAAAACATGGTACCTTCTTTGATTTCTGAAGTATAAAGTAAACTTTCAAACTCTTTGTTAAATTGACCTTTTGACTGATGCTGCAGTTTCTTGCATGTGATTTTTCAACATAACAAAGAAAAAAGAATTGAAACTTCTTGCAGGTAATTTTTCAACATAACAAAGAAAAAAGAATTGAAGAGAATTTTTCTGGAATGTTTTAAGGATGCTAAAAGTAGGATAAATCACTGAATTATGGGAAAGAAAAAGAATTTGTTTTCAGTGGAAGTGGATACAGAATTTTTTATGTCTTCTGGAATGTTTTAAGGATGTTAAAAATAGGATAAATCACTGAATTATGGGAAAGAAAAGAATTTGTTTTCAGTGGAAGTGGATAATTTGTGATGAAGTATCACAGTTATGGCTAAAGAAATCCCAGACAAGACAAAGTGCTCCCTGCAGGCATTGGCATATTGATGGACAGCAGAGGAAATATTAAATTTATCATGTATTTGCATTGTGACATGGCGGCTTGGGGTAAAAATGTGTGATATGCACTAAAAAATGCCTGAAATACCTAAAGATAGAAATGCTCTCTCTCAAGTGCAGCATTATAAAGATAAAGCTTTAATGTTATTAAATTTGTCTGCCTGAAGGAGGCAAATATAACAGATAAAATGCAGAAATGGATGTTTTCACATTTATGAGTTTTGAGAACATGATTCTGGATTGAATTGAACTTCCTGGAATCATAGAATCCTTACAGAATGATGCCCACACTCAGCCCTGGGTGAAGTGGCTTTAGGCATGTGTGAGCAGAGTGGTTTAATTCTGATGCTTGTGTTTTGGTTTTATTTTCATTTTTATATTGAGATCAAAATATATTTAAATGCAAACTAGTTGCAGTTTTAGAAATTGCCTGTATTAGACATCTGCTCTTATCCTCTGATCTGTAAATGATGACTGCAGTGATCAGAAATGAGTCTAACTCCTGAGTGAATGTTTTCCTGGTGTGCTCAGAGCTCTTCCACTCAACAGAGTTTTATGTTTTTATAGGGCGTTCATGGGATTTATTTGTTCTGCTCAGCATGAGTAGGAAGGTACTTGAGAACAAGGAAAAAAGGTGTCCCCATGGGGGTGGGGGAAGCACAAGGGCTGGAATGTGGTTGGTGCCTTCAGAGCCCAGTTCCCATATGCTCCAGGAGGAAGTGGCTGACATCACTGGGGTGTCTTACTGGTGCTCTGTGAGATAAGAACAGCTTTTGTGGCCCTAAACGCACTTGAATTGGGAAAGGGAGCCACCCTTACAGAATAAAACCAGATGCAAAAATAAAGACTTGTATTTCTGTGAAGGAAAAGGTTTTCAAAGCTTGGGAATAAAGAGAAAACTCCCTCTTGACACTAACAATTGGAGTGAAGAGAGAAATGCAAACCCCCTGAGATGTCTGAGAAAGGGAGAAGCTGCTCTGTGGTTTCACCACCTGCCCAATCAGCAGAATATTGGGTGGTTTATAGCCCTGATTCCCCAGCATCTGGACAATATTTAAAACATACACAAGCACTTTTTCCCAGACTGGCACAAAGGCAGCAGAGTGTCAGAGGGTTGTGACAGGAGGGAATGTGCATCATAAACAGAGAACTGACATGAGCCAGGTTTGAAACGTTCTTCACTTGTGGGACCTTTTGGATTTTAACTCTTTCCTTACCTTTTGTGGCATCCTGAGATGGCTGGAGTTATGTTAGTGAAGATGGAGTAAGGAAGAAAGAGGATACTGAGCTTTGTGCTTCTCTTTTGAAAAGTTAATCTTGCTCAGCTGAGCAGTGCTGGTGGTGGAGGCACTCCCTGAGCAGCTCTTCCTCAGCTGTGCCAGGCTGCAGAAAGAGAATTTCCAGTACCCAAGTGTCCCAGTTGTCACAGGAAGTGACAGAAGTTCCTGCAGGAACTGGACTCACCTTTCCATGCCTGTGCTCTTCCTGGGAGCCCTCAGAAGATGTGCACACTGTGCTGCTCAGACTTGTGCCTTCAAGAGGAGTCTCAGGATCATGAAGGAAAACTGCTCTTATTCCCAAAAAACCCCACTCACCTTGTTGCTGTAACTTTTTCTTGTGTCAGATCTTCCCTGAATTGGCCTGCAGGTATGAGCAGTGTCACAGTTCAAACAAGAGGCTGAATAATTCCTCTGAGCCTGAAATCTGTTAGTTTTTTAAATTTCATTATACCAGGGAATGACAAAACTCAGGAGCCTGTGGGGAGTGGAATAGTTTCCCAGTGCATGTGAACATTGTAGCTGAAGAAGATCCACCAAAGACTTAAACTGATGGAAAGTTTTCCACTTGCCTGGGAAGGTGGAGTTGTATTTTATTTCCAATCTGCATTTTACCACCTTTGACTTTGAACTATGTTGACCTTTTTATGCCTGTTTTAGCTAAATTTTAGGAGTCATCTATTTAAGTTCTCCAGACAATTATGAGATTGCTGCCTTCATATTAATTGATGATTAATTTAGATTAAGTTTATAGATTTCTTGTTCTAAATCTTCTGTAGCTGTCTTACATTTTTTAAAAGAAAAGCATCAGAAATGCACATGGTTTTCTGGCAGTGTGGTCTTTGGGAGGGTGACATAGCTGCTTTTTGATGCTTTTCTCTCTGTCCCTTCAAGGAGTGCATTGATCTTTCTGATTTGGAGGGTCTGTGTCCTCTGGCTGTTGTTCAGCTGTGCAAAACACCTCTTAGGATCTGATTTTCCAGGATACAGTACAGTGATTCTGTACATAATGTTCCAGAGGACTTTTCTTCTTAAAGTCCAACTTGGATTCAGGTACACTTGGCAGGTCCCTCAGGCTGTTGTGCATTAATTGAAGAGGGTGAACCTGTTCCAAAGGAAAAAAAAAAAAGACACTCCAAAATGCCTTGTTCATCCTGGTGAAGATTGAAGATTGACCAGACTGATGAATGTTACTGATGAACTGCTCATTTCCTGTGACCTGTGGAGATTTTTCTGTGAATCCCACGTTGCTGAGGCAGAGCTCAGCCCCCTGGCTGAGTCAGCTTGCAGCAGGTTTCACTGAGGTAAATTGGTGCTTCAGCCTCTCTATTTCTGTCATGTGAAATCAGTTCCATGTCAGTGAACTTCCCTGAGACTCAGTCTTCTCCATATGGGTTGCAAAGAGCTTTGCTGCCCTGCTCTTAAAGTTCTCATGACTTTTTCTTTTTGCTCAGATCTCAAGCCTTGATCCCTAAAGGTTCACAGCTAAAATAGTGCTGGAAATTTGCACATGTTTCTGTTACCAGGTTGGTCTGAGACCTGATGTGTTTCCCACTTCTAGCTCTAGTGGAAGTGCAGCATTCCCAGATCCTGTTTCCACTGAGCTGTGCTGAAGTGTTGCAGGCATGCTGCCTGTCCAGCCAGAATTCCTGTCCCGTGAGCCCACAGAGCTGACAGTGCCACTGGGATGAAATTCCAGGGTTCTGGCCAAGTCTAGAGCTGTAAGTTGCATCTCAGCAACAGAAGTTGAGGGGGTTTTGCATCCTCTCAGCACTACTCTGTGGGAGAATATGATGGATTCTTAATTCCCTTCCCATGCTGGGCTCCCCTTTCTCACTGATAATTACATTAACTTCCTTTATCTCTGGTGATGCCAGTTTGAGGGGTTTTTTTTGCAGTTTTTCAAGGCTGTTGCTTTTGGGTTTTGGCTCACTGTGTTTGTATTCATTTCTTTAGAGAGCCTTTCAGGGCTGTTAAAGCATGCAGACATGCTTTTTCCAATGACTTAGTTCTGCTCCTTCGAATTTCCTTTAAGCAGCTCCACGAATGCTCCTGTTCCTTCAGGATACTTCAGAACTCATTTCTCGGGTGTTGGCTGTATTGAATCTGCCCTTTTCTCTGTTAGAACCCCTTTCTGCTCTCCTGAAAGAACTTGTTGTAACATTAGCTTTCCATGCTGACAGTGCTGCTTTGCAGGGAGTTTTGGATCAGTGACAGCTTGAAAGATTCTGCTAGCTTTGTACTCCAGAGCTAAGGCTTGGGACTGTTAGATATTCCCTGCAGAGAAAACAGACTTGCAAAGTAAGCATCTCTGTCTTGCTAAAAGAGTTACTCATTAAAGTATAAATCTTTTCATCTGCACTCCCTTCCCCCAGCCTTCCCCAGTTCTTCCCATAACTGATGGCATGGGGCATGGTGGAAATACAACATCATGTGTGTGTTTTTCCTTAGCTGAGCCTGAAGAACATAAAATGGAAAAAAAAGCACAGCACACAGATTGGAAATGGATATTCTGCACTTGTAGTGATGCTTGTAATGGCTTGGATGTGAACATCATCTGTATTCCAGGGTATTTGAGGTTTGGATTTATAGCTTAGGCTCCATCTGACAAGCGTGGCAAAGAAGCTCCAAGACTAGAGATTAAAAGGCTGAGTCATACCTGTTATGAAAATATATGTTGTTTCTTTGCATTGCATAGCATGAAGATAATTTTCTTTACTGGTCCCTTTTATCAAAATGAAAAATGACTTTATTTGCTCATTGACATCACTTGTTTGCTGCTGTGCAAACCAGTTTTCTGTAGTGTCCATGCCTTTAACCCAAGGTGTTACAACAGGTAAATAACCATTAGTGCAGTGTTGTTCTTTGGAAATAGAATCTGAAGAGCAGAAGAGAGTTAAAAAAATAATTTTCTTGAAATGGTACCAAAATTTACTTCCTATATTTAGAGTATAAAACAGGAGAATTGAACAGGGTCCTGAGAAACCCTGATGTACTGAATATTTTCATCTGTTGCGTCCATATAACGTTGAAAGAAACAAAGATATTTTTATTTTAATTCGGGAAGTTTGGCGGTGCCAAAGAATTTCTATTTTCCTTCCTTGACAAAATCTTTTTAAAAAACCTGTACTCATAATTATGATAGTGCTGCCTTTGATTGAAAATGCTCAGAGAAGCTGAATACGATATCAAGGTGATCAATTTTGCTGTTGAAATACTTCTGTATAAATGTATTTATCTTCTCAAATGTTTGATTATAGTTTTAATGCTCTCCTTGACATGTTGCCTTCTCTTTTCAGGGTCGAATCCCACCAGATTTCGAATAGGTGACCAAGAGTTTGATTCTTTGCCATCTTTACTGGAATTCTACAAAATACACTATTTGGACACTACAACCTTGATAGAACCCGTTTCGCGCTCCAGGCAGAATAGCGGGGTTATCCTCAGGCAGGAGGAGGCCGAGTATGTGCGAGCCCTCTTTGACTTTAATGGCAATGATGAGGAAGACCTCCCCTTTAAGAAAGGAGACATACTGAGAATCCGGGATAAGCCTGAAGAGCAGTGGTGGAACGCAGAAGACAGCGAAGGGAAGAGGGGAATGATACCCGTTCCTTACGTCGAGAAGTATAGACCTTCCTCTGCTTCAGTCCCCACTCTGATTGGAGGTAACCAGGATAGTTCCCACCCACAACCACTGGGTGGGCCGGAGCCAGGGCCCTATGCCCAGCCCAGCATCAACACTCCGCTCCCTAACCTTCAGAATGGCCCTATTTATGCCCGGGTTATCCAGAAGCGAGTCCCTAATGCCTACGACAAGACAGCCTTGGCTTTGGAGGTACATAATGGGCAAAATTTAGAAGGAAGAGATCTGTTCAAGGGATTTCCCTTTCGCTCACGTGGTAGTTTTGGAGGAATGAGAAAGGGAAAAGCTTTGTAATACTGGTTTTATGTCATGATTAATAAGTTATGGATAAAATGAGTGACTCGAGTCACTTGTAAATTAGATTATTGTTGATTATTATTAGGTTACTGAACCAGTATTGTGTCTGTTGTCAACCATCACTAACATAACTGTTTCCCCATCCATTTTTTTGTGGGGGGGAGGGAGAGGGAGCAGCTCATAAATTGTGTGTCTGAACCTGTGTTTGCTGTTGTGTGCCTCACCACAGTCTGTACAAGGTGTGCTGGGTTGTTTGTTGGTTTGTGCTGTGTTGGGTATTTTTTTCTCCCCAATGTGTCAGCAGTTTTAAAGCAATCAGTGGAAACATTGGTACACTTTGAAATTACCTGGACTGAGATGATGATCACACATAGAATTTAATTGTAACATCACCTCAAGCAGATTACTTTGGGTTTAGGTTTGAGGCAGGAGCATTTTACAATTCACATCACAGTTTTTAGGTCTGGTGTAAAGCAGTGATTGATGGAGTAGGGTTTGTAGTAAAGCACTGAGTTTTCCCCAGGTTGATTCACTTCCTGACAGGATCAAGTAATTGCACAGGCCCTTCTTGATTTGTCTTTTTCCCTCTTAAAAGGTGACTGGAATGCTCTATCTCTCCACATCAGATAGTTCCTCCCCCAAGTTACATGTGAGGAAATTGAGACTAAGGTATTCCCTGTGGCAGACCTTTGCCTTGGGATATGTAAATTGTATCCTTTAATCTAGGCTTTCTTTGAGCTAGAGGCTCTGGAATTTCCTGATACCTAATTGACTTCCTGTTTATATAACGTTTTAAGTACTTGGGAAAAAACAGTTTCTGTGCTGAGTCAGAGCATCTCCTCTGCACTCTCAAATACTTGGTGTAATTGTGCATGGCACAAGAGGCACTCCAGGACTTCAGTGATCTGGCAGCTGTAGGTGTGTGTCTGGTGCAGAACTGGCAGATGCAGCACATGCTGCAGATGGAAACTGATGCACAGCCTGGAGATGTGAAATCTTTGCCATGTAGGTAGTGAATATACTCTGAGTTGTTACACATTCTGTTATAGGGCTGAGTATCTTTTGGGTTGAGAAGCAGGTAGGGAAATTTGTAAACTCACCAGATTTTGGGAAAATGTGAGGATTTTTACCCTTCAAACTCTCATAAAGGTTAAAATGCTGTCTCTTTCCCTCTTTTTCTCACCCTTTCCACCCAGTGACCTCCTGGAGTTTGGGAATATTCTTGAATGCAGGCTGTTGTAATTCCCAGATGTTAGATTGGTTTTGAGCCTCTGGATACTGTTGTGGCATATTTAGCAAAACCTTTTGGTTTTCTTTCTGAATTTTGCATTCTCTTAAGCTTTAACTTCACACTTTATTCCACTAAAGAACCCCACACTGCTGCCTAGTGCAGGATTTGGGAGCATGGAGTGAAATAGGGAGAGTGAGGAAATGCTGCTAATCCAGGCCATAAGCAACTTAGAGTGAAAGGAAATGCTTTCCACTCTGGAGAGCAGCTTGTGGTGCCAGGGCTGATCTTAGGTTCAATCCTCTTCACCAAACTCACATGATCTGGCAAGAGTGCTGTGCTGTAGGAAGAGCAGTTTTGTGGGTAACACCTCTCTTTTCTGAGCTACCTTACACCTCTAGTGTCTTTTACTACCTGGTGGGAAAGGCTGAGTAGCTGAAGTATTTGGGAGAGGCAGCTGAGAAGGGTCAGCTCAGCTTGGCTGTGTGACCACAGGAGATTTCTGGTGTCTAGAAATGGGCCCTTTGTGGGCCTCTTAAAACTGCTTAAGTATTTGTCAGTTGACACCTTGGCCCTCTAGGTTAGGCTGCTATATTCCTGTCTTGCTATTCATTTAAGAAATGCAATAGCAATTGTGGTTCTTAATTCTGTATGTAGTATTGCAAACAGTTTTAAAAAATGACCCGTTTTTCACTGCTTCTAGTGGCCTTCAAAGCTTTTCAGCTTTTATCACTTCCAGTCACAATGTTACTGAGTTGCTTTCAATGTCTGTACAGGAAAAAAAAGCAATATGCACTTCATTTTCTCCCAAGTTTTTCTTCATCTTGTCTATCAAAGTGCTGTTCCTTGTTGTCTCCTTTCTCCACATTCCCTTTCACTTCATGGTGTTCCTTCTCTGTTTATTTAGAGATCTCTTTCTCAGATAACTTAGTAGAGAGCATTATGTAAATCTTATCAGGCCATTTTTGCCCAGACCTCTTTATAAATACAGCAAGTGGGATTCTTTCCAAATGAAAACTCTTATCCTTAAATCTGGCAATATTCATGGGAGGGGGTGGATCCCACTGTTTCTCTTAGAAAAATAGATTCTTAACATCAAACAGTTTTTGCCCAAACTGCAAACAGAATATCTGTGCTGTTCTGTTATTTTAAGCCTGACATGCTTTTGAAGAGTTATGGGAAGGAGGATCAGAGCAGGTGATGTTCTAATAAAGGCTGTGCTCTATTATGGAAAAAAAGATTCAGCAGGAGAAGTTAACATTTATTTTGCATGTAACTGGACCTATGCAAGGAGTTTTCAGTCTATTTTAAGAGAAAATAGAGGAGGAAAAGGGAAGATCTGTGTGGTGAATGACTCTGAGATCGATGGATTTATTTTTTTTCTTTGTAACAGTAGCAGAACTCTGCCACCTTGACCTCACCAAAGAGGAGTACTTGGAATAAAACCACAGCATACAGAAGTCTTCACTTGAACCTTCAGTTTTGCTTTGAAGCAAATGGGGTATATTTAGTTTTAAAGCTTCTGATGAAGACTGAGACAAACCTGGCTTTCTAGCAGGGTACAGTGTTGTTCCTGAGGTGCTGTGCTTGGTGGGATGATGCACTGTGGACTAATGTTGCCATAAATCAATGCTGAAAGTGAGGAGAATTCAGAGACAACATCCACTCCTAGCCTAAAGGTTTTAAAACTTCAGCACTTGTAATAATGAGTAATTTTTGGAAGGGTTCTCTTATTGTCTTCAGGAGAGTGGTTGAAATACAGCTTACTAGGCAGAGGTTTGAAGCAGATCTAGAAAGATCTCTCAGACAGGATCTAATGGAGCCATTTTATCAAGGCAGCATTTGTGACATGGTCCATGCTTGTTTAAAGTTAGTTCTGCTTTGACAGATGTAAAGATACATAGATATAAGAATGAATGAAAAGGTGTATATATATATATATATAAAGAAATGGGAGTAAGAACTGTATCAGTGTGTCTGCTAAATGAAATTACTGGCAAAAAAAAGCAATATTTGATCTCAGAGGTCTCTCAACAATTACTGAAAAGCAGCTTTCAAGTGTAGCTCTGTATAGTAAGGGGAATTCATAATTAATTGTCCCTTGGCTGCAGTGACCCTGAAACCCCCCTGCAAACCAAAATCCAGCTACAGGGTGCTCGGGGGGCAGGGGAGTTTCACAGGCATCCCATACTGTAACTCAGTGGCATTGCTCTGTTGAACCCACCTTTTGCAGGTGAGTTTATTGTGAGGCATCCAAGATAAACCCTAATGAACACTAATTAGGGTGTGATAGAGCAGAGGCCCTCAGTCTTAAGACAGCAAACCAGTGCCAGTTGTGCTTTTCCCTTCCCAGTGGGTTGGAGGTTAAACACTGTTCTGGTGAGGGCTCATCTCTAGATTGTATCCAGGTCTGAAGCAGTTTGAAGTTATCTGGGACATGGTTCTGGCAGTGGCTGTGATTAGGAAATCAGATTTTCCACTTCTAGTATTGTCACATTGAATCTTATCCTTGTTAAATTATAGCTGATGGATTGTTTTGGTCAGCAGAGTATTTTTGTTGGTACAACCCCCCCAGTGGTTATTAGCAGTAGCAAAATTATACAAACTGCATGATTAAATTCCTAAAGAGCTGAGGCTTGCATTCAGAAGTGGAGGAAGGCTTCCTTTTTGCCTGTAGCTAATACATAAGAGGATTTTCTTCAAAATATGATTCATTAAAATGTCTATACTAATGACTACAAAAGACAAAAATAAAGCTACAGCAAGAGTCCCAATGGGCCTCTCATTACCAGATAAGTAATCATGAGAGGTATGGGAAGCTTAATTAAATGTCCATGAAAGGGGTTGAATTTATGAACTGTTAAAAGATGTTCTGGCAAATTATTTCAAGTGATTAAAACCTGTAAAGTTAATGGAGATTGGTAACATCTCAAATTGTTTTCCTTGTTCTTTGTTGCCTGCCTGGAAAGTGCAAATAATGAGGATGTGTTTTGGATGGATTAGGAACACAGTGATGAGCATCTGTGTAAACTATATATTCAGTGAATTTCTGGATGAAATGCAGCGAGGCCTTTGGCCACACCTTCAGAGTTTATTTACAGTATTAGTGAAAGAAAATAGAGTCTATCTATCCCAAAAGCATCCTCCATCTGTGATGTGGGAAGAATTCTAAAAATCGTTGTACGTTACTTGTAAATCAGATTATTGATAAAATTCTGCAGAGGGGTAGGAATGGATAGACAGCTTTTGAGTGGTGCATTCATTAGCTCTCCATGAGTGCCATTACAATGTAAATGGTGATTCCTCGGGTGGTGTAAGTGCCACTTAATTAAAGTACCCTTAAATATGAAACAGAGTTGGGGACTGATCAGACCTAGACTTGTGTCCTGATTTGAACTGCACGGCCCTGGGGAAGTGCCTGCTGTGCAGTTTGTCCCTGTGTCACAGGGGGATGTAGATGATGCCTTTGGAATTGGTGCTGGCAATATTAGGGCGGAGATTAGAATAGGAGATGGATTCCTGGGCAAGTGGGAGAGGGCATCTGTTGTCTTTACTATTCCCATGAGTACTGGACTTGGCAGTGCTGAGTTAATGGTTGGACTCAATGACCCTGAAGATCTTTTCCAACCTAAACAATTCTGTGATTCAGTGGGATTTATTTCTCTAAGAAATCCATGCTGGGAAAGACTGAAATGCCATCTGGCTTTGCTTTTGGTAGTGGCTGACTGGATGTCCAGAGCAAGAACAGAGCAGCCTTACAGCACTTCTTGTACACTTGTTATAATCTGTGAAGAGAGAGAGAGATCCTCCACTTTCCACAACTTGAAAAGTGGAATTCCAAAACTAAGGAGCAGTTGAGCTTGCAGATTAGTGTCCACTTGGTCCAGGTGCAAGCCCTTCTTGCTTTATGAGGCTCTGGATGGAGTCTCAGCAGTGTGCAGGCCTCTGTCAGCCCAGCAAGGCACATTTATCAGGATAGCACCTGATGGCACTTGGAAAGATTGGTTTTGGATTGCTGACTCTTCAGGTAGTTCTCACCTGATCTAGGTGCATTTCTTTATACACTTTCTTGGAGTGAATGGCAATGGGGACAGGCTGGTGTCTCAGACACTGTCAGGACTAAAGCTGCTTTTTATAGATGTGTATCTGGTGCACGTGGGTGACAGCACACCAGGGAGGGGTGGCAGCTCATGCTGCCCATGTTTCTGGTTTGTAACGTGTGTATTTCTTACCCCACAGGTCGGTGAGCTGGTAAAGGTCACAAAGATTAACATGAGTGGTCAGTGGGAAGGAGAATGCAATGGCAGACGTGGTCACTTTCCATTCACACACGTCCGTCTGCTGGATCAACAGAATCCTGACGAGGACTTCAGCTGAGTGTGGCTCAACAGTTGCTCTTACAGATGGGAACAATCTCAACTTATTTTTATTGCAGATGCCATCAAGACTAAGCTCGGACCGACGCTGCAAGCGGTATTGCTTGGATAAGCATTCTGATAACCTGCAAACCCCTGGGACTCAACACCACCATTCCTTAAGCAAGGGTCATGTAATTCAGGGTACGACAGTAGATAACTCGTGTGTCCAGTGGCAGAACTAGGCCATGATTATAGGTTGTAATGCCTGCTTATGTCCACGTGCACGTCAGGCTGGGCCTTGCCAGCAGCAGCAGCTGGAGAAAGCAGTGCTGTAGATGTTCAGAGAACATTTATAGCTCTCTCCGGGCCCATTGCTTATGTTGCTTCTTCCTCAGGCAATGAAGATCAACCGTAGACAATTCAATACCTTGATAGAAATTTCACAGATTTATCCTGGAGCTCTCTCCGTGTTTTTTTGCATCCTGGGTTCTCTGTCCTAGAAAGGCTCCGCAGTGCTCTGCGTGGTCAGTTAGCTGTGCACAGCACAGGCTGATGCAGGGCCGTTGGGGACAGCCTTATGATTTACAGATCCTTACCATTTTCATGGTAAATGACAGATCAAATCAACCTCAGAATTCTAGAACCTTGTGGACACTAGATTGATTTCTTCAGTACTGTTGATGCTTCAAACATAGCAGCTGATTTTAATTTAAGATTTTTATTAACACGCAGTATCTCCTTTTATCCACAAATACAAGGCTTATGGAAGTGTAAAACTCCATATCAGTGCTGAAAAATATGTGCATAGCACTTTAATACGTAGCTTTAAAGCAGTGTTTGATTCACTAAATATACTAAAATATTGACACTGCTTTCCAATAAAATTAAATTGTGTAGGGCTAGTTCAATTTTTCTAGAATTCCTCAGTATTGTACAATACTGTTACAGTACAAATCAGTGTCAAACACGGTGAACTGACAAACCAAATATTAGTTTTATTTTAAAGACACTCTGGGGACTCTTCTGGTTTAATTCCCATCTGTAAAATATTTGATAGTGAATTCATGAGGATTTTATTTTTAATAAACTAATGGAAAATAATTGTGTGCTTCTGGATTGATTCTCAAAAGGCATAATAGAGTAAATATGGCTTCCTAGCTCATGGTGAAAATCAGTGCATTGAGTAGGCAGTGTTATGCACTGCTTGATGGTTGTTTTTTAGTCTGTTCTTCTAATTATCTGGTTTTCTCTAATATAAATCAGAATGGATTTAGTAAGTTTTGTAAACTGAAATTAAACACTGAAGTAACTCTCCCTTGCCTGTACCCTGGGTTGTTTTCCAAGCACAGCACTCTGGTGACCAAACTAAATTTTGTAACTTTGACTACAGTATAATCCATGCAGAAGGGTTTTTCTAAATGGTATCAAACTGAAACTGTTGGGTTTGGTGGCTTCAGAGCCGTTGACCCCAAGGCTCATGGGTTGCACGTGCTGCAAGGCACGGACCCTACAACAATACTGGTAACACTTTACCTCAGAACTCTGTAACATGCTGGAAATTATAATATTTCTGTTCTATTTAAGTACTAGTTGTTTTACTTCAAAACTAATCCATCAGCAAGTCTGAGTAATGTTCAGGTTATGGGCACTCATTAATTCTGTGGACTAACGTTAATCACTCTTGTCCATCACCAGTCTCATGAGCACTACTGAGGATGATCATCAAAAACTGACAGCAGGGACAGTGGGGTAAGAATGGAAACGAGGAATTGCAGCTCTGTTCTACCTTGGATTGCTATTCTGGTCAGGGTGGCGTGCCAGTGATTGTGGGAGCTCTTCTAGCTTAGTACAAAATTTACTTTGAGGGGAAAAAAATGGCAAAACTAACTCTCTAGGTTCTGTAACTCATCAGGTTCTTTAAGGCTGATTTGTGGTTTTCCTCTGCTCTTGATATTCACTGTAACTGTTCGAGGGGTTTTGTTCAATAACTGCACTCTAAATAACAGACTTAATACTGAGTTTTTCAGTTGCCCATATATGCTTATATTTTCCTTCAGGTATTGCAAAAGAAACACAATAAACAGTGTGTCCTTAGAGTGACACTGTTCTGAAGTATTTTTGCCAACTGCAGTTAATGAAAGCCCATATATTTGTACCTTTCCAATCAGGAATTCAGATACCAAAAGATCATTTTTCTGGAAGTTTTATTATGCAAACCTTGCCTTTTTAATACAAAATACATGAATTGAATTAACTAGCAAGTACCCTGCAAACTTTGTAGATGTGGTTTTGTTAAGACTGTATAAATTGTGAATATTTGTACACTTTGAAAGAGCAAAATAAGGAAACTAGAGGAGTCTTAATAGCTGCTGTTACACTAGAATCCCAAGTTCTTGTCAAGCAGTTTTTTTAGCTGACTGATACATTAATGCAACTGTTTTCCACTCTTCAGTTCTAAGCTGAAATGTGATTTTGTTTCATAGGTGATAGAAAGGAGTATGAATTTGGACAAAATAGACATTTCAACTTGTCAGGCTCTTCAAGGCAGATAGGTAGAACCTATGTCCATGAACATGTAGAGGAAATCCTTTTGTGGCCTTTGTTTATCCTTTTCTATTTGTTCCCTCCCTTCTCCCCGATGCGTGCAAAAAAATCATTGCTCAGAATGTTGGTCACAATCTTTTGTCTCTTCCTTGGCTGTGGTTTTGGTCTCTTGTGCATAGGCAGGTGTTAGAACTAGAATAATCATTTCTAGAAATACACCATGAAAGCAGAATGCTCCATTACACTGTGTTCTTCTGGTGCATTTACACGTTATATCACACTAAAAAGTACAACTGGCTGCTATGGTTTTTTAATATATATTTCATTTTGGTAAGCCCCAGCCTTTTTACTAATATATGACCTGGTTAAATCTTGTTAATCTGTTTGAATTGTATTTGTTAATAATGCAAATATTTCTAATCATCTTTAAGAGTAAAATACTTCCTTTTTGTTAATGGTTTTGGGGAAGGATTCTAACCAAACCTGTTTGAAGAAAAATATGAACATGTGCCATTGTATTATAACACTATCCACTTTCTTGACAGTTAAAGTCCTTTTTTATTTTTTTGTAGCATGTAATGTATATGTTCATAGTACGTGAAGTAAATAAAAGTATAGCCAAAACTTTGACTCAGTCATTCTCAATCAGTTCTTGGAGTACTTGCATTTAATAATTGAAAATAGAGGGGGTATGGCCATTTTTAATTGGCCACGTTAGTATGAAAATAATTAATTTAGGTAACTAAATTAACTTGTCAAACAATAAAATATGGCTCTTTTTTTGAAAGAAGGTGACTTTCTGTAATTAAATGAGTCAAGGGGTTGGAGGAAATGTCTATTCTCATTTTAAAAAAAAACAACTTGTCAGGAATGTTGAGATTTTTAGCTCTTGCTCTCAATTCTACCTGCTCAAGTGTGTCTGGGGATTGTTTGGATGGGGTGTTCAGGAAGATAAAAATCTGTTTATATATTCTTAGAAATATCAGTGAAAACAAAGTTGCACAAATGAATACCAGCAAGAATCTTCTGCAGGAAACTACAGATGTTTCAGAAGAGCTGTTTTTATGTGTGGTGGTGTGAGAGCACTAATTCAGTGAAAGGCCAAGGTGTGCAGGTGCTGTCAAGGGCTGAAGGACAGAAAATCAGGACCAGAATCCCATGGGGGGCAATGTTTGTAACATCAATCTGCATTAAAGCTGCCTTGCCACACTATTCCTTAAAAACTGCAAGGGGACAGTGGCCCTTAGGCCTCAAAGATAAGAATCTTTGTGTCTCCACACAGCAAAGATTATTCTATCAGCTCCAGATGGAAAAAAAAAAAAACCTTAATTTTTCATAGGTAGAAGCCCCCAGCTGTGCTCCAGTGCTCACTGCAGAGCTGCAATGCAAAGGTGCTTTTTAATGAGATTGGCTGAGAGAATTTCAGAGCTCCCTGCAGCCAAAAGGAAGAGGCTGTGCCTGCCCTTCCCCAGGGCCCTGCCAGCCATCCCCTCCTGCTTCACCCTGCCCTGGTGTTTGCAGGGCTCCCTGAGCTGATGGGCACAGGGCTCATGCAGAAAACTGCTTTTCCTGTTCCATTCCCTCTCCTTTCAGCTGTGGGGTTTGGCTGCAGCAGTGGTTGAATGAATTAATGTGAAAGTTCAGGGGGCAAAGGGCAAGCAAGGATTGCATCAGCAAATTGTGCTGTATTTCCTTGGATTAGGCTGTTTATTCCTCAGGTTTTGCCAAATCCCTGACCAATTTCCAAATATCTGAATGCCATCTGTAACGAGTGCATTCAGAAGAATTTAAAGTATTTAAACAATATGCTATTATTTAGCAAGGGCACTAAGAATGCACCTCACTTCTGGCAATTAAATCTGCTTGAAGTGTCCTGATTTACTGATATTATTGAACTCCCTGCAATCTGAGTGCCTGCTGAACATGAGGGTCACAGAAAAAATCCTAAATTGATCCAAATCTAATTTATTGTGCACAGCTCCCCAAGTCTCTGCTGAAAAATAGACTTTTATGGTCAAGAGAGTGCAGAAGTGATTTGCAAGTCTTAAAAATTTACACAGAAATAGTGACTGTGCACTACTGGGACCTTTTGAGTGCCTAACTTTGTATTTACCAGGAATTCAGAAGTAAAGGTTTACAATTATTCCCAATTTCAGCAAAATCAGCATTTTCTAATCTTACTTCAAATAAAAAAGCACATTTTTTCTGGACTTGACACCTAATTTTCAGTGACTTTAGTCACTGATGTCTTTGTTTTGCTTACAATGATTCCCAGTTTCAGCAAAACCAGCATTTTCTAATCTTACTTCAAATAAATCAAAAAAAGCAATTTTTTTCTGGACTTGACACCTAATTTTCAGTGACTTTAGTCACTGATGTCTTTGTTTTTAAGAAATCCTGATTAAATGATCCTGATCTGTGAAAAAGAGGACCTAAATATCCCTTGAAAACAGAGCATTGATTTTCTGAGCAAGTGATATCAAAATAATTCTATCAGGTTTTTAGGTTTATTTGTAAGAAAAGCATAAGGTTATGTTGATCTTGCAGGCCCTAAAACTCTTGTTCATCAACTGAAAAAAATCAGTCAGGCCTCTATTAAACTATTGAAAAAAAGTGCTTGGAATGGTGTTCAAGGTGTGTGCCCTGAGTCACCCATCAGGAGCCCATTTCAGTGGGCACAGTACAATAAATGGGGATACCTGACTTTGTGTCCAGGAGGTGCCAGGGCCAGCTCTGTCTCTGCTGTCAATACTTGCAAAGGTCTCTGTGCACTTTTCATGTCAGTGAAGTGATGGGAGAGCATCCGTAGCCTGCACTTCCAGGGAGGCGCTGGGAAAAGAGACAAGACTTCGTTTAGAGCTACCCTGAGCAAATCACAGAATTGTGGAATGGTTTGGATTGGACCTTAAAGCTCATCTCATTCCAATTCCTCTGCCATGGGCAGGGACACCTTCCACAAAACCAGGCTGCTCTAAGCCTCACCCAGCCTGGCCTTGAACACTGCTAGGGATGGGGATCTGTGAAGATCAGGTTCATGCCAGCCATGCATCATCCCTTTCGTTTTCCAAAACCATTCTGATTTCAGAAATCGAGGCATTATCTCAGTTATTTAAGTGAATGCTCCTTTTGTTTTTCAGAAGTACTGTGTGAGGAACTTGTGAAACATTCAATTTTATTTCCTAGATTTTCTAGCCACTTGAAACTGTGAAATTACCACGTGCTATGCACTGGAGGTGATATTGAGAGCAAACACCCTGGAGAGGCTGCAGAAACCTGTGCCTGAGCGTCTGCCTTTGGTCACAGATCACCCTTCCATGTGGGGCACACGCGGTGATTTGTACCCAAATACCGGGAGAGGGTAACTCAGAGAGCGCTGTCAGCGTCTGAGGGCAGCACAAACACGGAGATGGAGCCGCACTGAGGGAAACGCCACCGGCTGCCGGCCCGCTGCCCTCCGCTCGCCCACAGCCGTGTCCCGGTCACGGCCCCGCCAGGGCCGGGCGGGGGAACGGCGGATCCATCCCCGCCATTGCCGGCTCCCTCATGCCTCATCCCGGGTTATTCCTTATCCTTCCTCAGCCCTCAGACCGCTTCATCCACCCTGCCTCATCTTCACAGCGCCTCACCCACCCTGCCTCACCCCTCACACCGCTTCATCCCTCCTGCCTCACCGCTCTCACTGCTTCACCCACCCTGCCTCACCCCTCAGACAGCTTAATCTATCCCGCCTCAGCCCTCAGACCGCTTCACCCGCCCTGCTTCACCCCTCACACCTTCATCCCGCTTTATCCCTCACACTGCCCCATTCCCTTTATTCCACACCCCTCACACTGCCCCATTCCCTTTATTCCTCACACTGCCCCATTCCCTTTATTCCTCACGCTGCCCCATTCCCTTTATTCCTCCCCCCTCCTCACTCCCCTCACGCCGCCTCACCCCGCCCCCCGCCCGTTGCCAGGGAGCCGCCGTTGCCATGGGAGGCGGCGGGGCGCATGCGCGCGCCCGCGGGAGTGCCCGGATGCAGCGGGAGGAGGCGCTGCCGCCATATTTGCCCGGAGAGCAGCGAGCTGGTAGCTGCAGAGCCCCCCGGACCCATCGGCTGCCATCCGCCCCGCGCAGTCCCCGCCGCCGCCCCGCCCGTAGGACATGGACGATCGGGAGGACCTCGTCTATCAGGCCAAGTTGGCTGAGCAGGCTGAGCGCTACGATGGTGAGCGCGCGGGCTCGGGAGGCCGTGCACGGCCGAGGGGAGAGGGAGGGAGGGAGGGAGCGGCCACAAAATGGCGGCTGGGCGGGGGAGGTCCCCCGGCCGGGCGGCGCGGGGCGAGGGCGGCTCGCCGCAGACAACGCCCATGCCCAGCGCGCCGAGGGGGGGCCCGGCCCTCGGCCCCTCGCCGGCCGTGCTCGTGGGGGTCCCCGGGGACGGGGCTGCGCTTCTTTCTCTGCCTCTGCCCCCGGCTGGAGATCCTGCTGCCCCTGGCAAACCCAGAGAGAGCGAGTTCTCGCCCTGCAGGGAGCGAGTACATGATTCACTGCCTAAAGAAAACGCATATGCTTTCATTATGTGGTAGAAATTATTACAGGTAGTTTCACTTTCCCAGCGTTTTCTTTTCATCATTTTTCCCCTTTAAGTTTTTGTGCTGTCCTTGATCGTTTAATATCCATGATGATTTAATATCTGGGGGAAAAGTGGTAGAGGGGAGGAACTGGCAACCCTGGGTGGTGTCTCTTGCCCCAAAAATGTCTGTCTTGCAACTGTTCCTTTTAAACATGGTTCCCCTGCATATAATAGAAAGGGCCTTTAATTTTCTCGACTCTTCTGAGACTGTTACTTTGCCCTGAGAGCTGTGATTACTCATTTGAAGTGAAATAAATATATGAATGTAGAATGTGTGAATGCACTAACGCCTCATTTAGAGAAGTAAGAAGACACTCCAAATATTTTCTGTTCATACATTTTTATAGACAACATGACCAAGTTTTCACCAAATGATAAATGCTTAAAAAACATCTGATGGCAAAAAACACCTGATGGCACCATTGCAGAAAATCTGAAAAATACTTGTTTTGGGAAGAAAAAAGAGAAACTAAAACAAAAAGAAGGCTTAAATAAAACTCCATTCATTTAGAGTTTTGATGGGGAAAATAGTTTAGAATTCATAGTACTACTAAAAGAAAGCAGTAAGTCAGTCCCTGCAATAACTGAAGAACTTGGAGAAAGGAAATGCCCCCAGAAACCTGGTATTGGGGTACCATAATTACCTGGGCAGAGGGACACATCCATGTTCCACAGAATGTGTGCAACTCCTGCTGGGGAGGGAAGGGTTCTCCACCTGGTGTGGATGAGTCAGTGCCACTGGAAGTGTTGGCTTTGGTTTGAGTGGAAACCCAACATCGTGGAGCAATCATCATCCTTGGGAGCTCTTGAGGCATGACTCTCTTTCTAGGCTTTTCTGAAGTCAGCAGTAAATCACTTTGTTAGAAGGTAATAGGACTCTACCCCATGGCACAGATCTGCACTGCAAACTTCCTGTCAACTGATAAAAATTGATTGGGAAGGATTATTGCCTTGGTGCAGCGTTTCCTTGGGTGCACTTTGGTTCTCCCAGCACCATGACTGTTTGCTACACAAGC